TTTTTTTTTTTTTTTTTTTTTTTTTTTTTGTTTCAGAGTTTCTCATCACCTTTGAACCAAGTACAGAGTAGAATATGGTTGATGCATTGGAGTCTTTTCATCTTTTTCAACCATGAGAATGGACGAACACAGATTATAGATCTGTTTAATCAGGACAAGTATGCAATTTTGATAACTTATCCAACTTTTTTCTTTATACTTTTCATTTGTCTTTGAAATCACATTTTCTTTCGCCATTGCTCTTCCTCATCTTTCTTGACATTTAAGTGACGTTGGCTTCATCTCTATTTTTTTAAGTGTTTGTTGTTTTTGCCATATGAATTACTTTTTCTAAGTCTTCAGTAGTTTTAGTTAGCTTTTATGTAGGCCCTTGTATTGCTATAATACAAGTCTAATTCTTTCATGAAACTGCCTAATTTTGTTTTGTTGGATGATATTCATGTTTACTGTCCAAAAGTTATTATATTTTCTCCTTAATCATTGTTTTTTTGTCTTGTTTATATGATATGTTTATGCTGATGAGCTGATCTATTATTCAGTTCCCGTAAAGTATCCTATCTGACTATTCGATTTTACAGGTATCTAAATGCCATCCAAACCAGTGCTCCTCATCTTTTGAGATATCTAGCCACTGCATTCATTGTCAACAAAAGGAGAAGACCTCAATTTAAAGATTTTATTAAGGTTATTCAGCAAGAGGAGTATTCTTACAATGATCCCATCACAGAGTTTTTGGCGAGTGTGTATGTCAATTATGATTTTGATGGTGCACAAAAGAAGATGCGGGAGTGTGAGGAAGTAAGTTTCCTGCTTCTCCCCATGGTTCAAGTGAATGAATTCCACTAGAATGGCTATATTATTATTTTAGTTGTACCAACTGTTTTGGATGAATTTCACATAGCATTGTCTCACAACCTTTATTTTTCTTTAATCCTGTTGATTAGAAGTTTTGTAAGCATCCTAACTGCTGAAGGAAGCAGTTTCTGAACTGTGGGCTGTGTTTAGACCTCTTTTTTTTTTTAATCTTGTAACTGCTGTAGGTAATCTTGAATGATCCCTTCCTTGGCAAAAGAGTTGAAGAAGGTAACTTCTCTACTGTACCACTGAGAGATGAGTTCCTTGAGAATGCTCGCCTATTTATCTTTGAGACCTACTGCAGAATTCATCAGCGGATTGACATGGGGTAAGTTGTTCCATTTGCTAATGCTTTTTAGTTACTTTTGAGGAAGCAGTAGCTCCCCAGCTAACTAAAATTGCTATTTTTTGTCGGGTGGATGGGATTAAACATCTTATTTGGTTACTCCACTGCATGACTACACTTCTTTCTGACTTTTATGATTTTTATGTTTTCTACACCACTATAGCTGTTTGTGCATCTGGTGCAGCCAACTTTTGCTCTAGGAAGATTGAAATTTTTTTCACATATAATTATTGTCCCTATAATGGCATTTATTTTGAACCTCGGCCCCTAGCTTGTATGGTCACCCCTAACAACTTTTTTTCAATACCCCTTGAATGCCATTCCTCCCTCTCCAATAGCCACTAATTCTCTCAGTTAAAAGAAATAGTGATAATAATGGCACTTATTTCATGGAAGGTTCATTGATTTTTTATGCATACTGAGTTATCGGTTTCCTATTGTACCGTAGTTGGAAATTTGTGCTGTTTCATTGGATTGAAGTGTTATGTGCTTCTTATTTTTGGATTTAATTAAAATTAGTTTTCTGTTTGTGGTAGAGTGCTAGCTGAGAAGTTGAATTTGAACTACGAGGAGGCTGAAAGATGGATGGTCAATCTTATCCGAGGCTCCAAGCTTGATGCCAAGATCGATTCCAAGTCAGGAACTGTTATCATGGAACCCAACAACCCCAACGTGTAAGTCCACTTTCATGCTTAAATCGTCTACAACTGGTTTTGTTTCATCTTACATGGTATAACCATAGCCTATGTTTTCCATCATATATTTCTCTGTTTGTCTAATGAGCTTTTCCCCTGGTCTTTTTCCAGTTATGAGCAGTTGATAGACCACACCAAGCTGCTCTCAGGGAGAACTTACAAGTTAGTAAGTCAACTTCTTGAACATGCTCAGGGACAGGCTGCTCGGTGAAGTTCAGTGTTGAGCTGCTGATAGCTTTTTCAATTTTGAGGCGTGTCAGAGCTGTTTGTTTCTTTTGTATTTTAAGGATCAAGGTTAGAGTAATTCTAGTGCCTCATTTGGAGCAAGATTGAAAAATCATTAGTTTTCCTAAACATATATCAAGATTTTCTTAACAAAATGCCATTAAGTTATCATATTTGCAGAAATTACGAAGTAATCCTGTTGACGAAGTTATGCTCAGCCTGGAAAATTTTTCAATTTTACAGGTTGTTTGTTATAACAGCTTTTTAATTTTTTAATTGTTAATTACTAATTTTATATTGTTATAACAAATTAGAAATTACCCGTTAATTATGCCCGTTTGGTTGGTTACTTGGTTGGTAGTTTTCGTCTGGTAGTTACTATTTCTGTTACCAAATGACTAATCTGGTTTAGTCTTTGGGAGTGCTGTGTTGGGGTTTGGCTGTTGACTCTTAAGTTTGCCTTTTTATATAAAAAAAAAATATATATATATATATATAGAAACTATTAATTGAAAATACAAAAAATATATAAAATATTAATTAAAATTAATCATTTATAATAAATTTATATTTTTAAATTTGCAATCCGAGGAATCCTTTCTCAACTAAGGTTTTGTTTGATAATATTTGTTGGTGTTTTACTTTTTGGTTTTTATTTTTTTTTATATATATATTTTTAAAGAATATATAAAATATTAATTAAAATTAAAATAAATATTAAATATAAGATAATGTTTATTTTATATGTTTTTAAAGTATTAAAAGATTATAAAACTTACAACTACAGTTATAGATAAGTGTTCTCACATTAAACTTAAACCTGTCATTTTGGTTTAGCTCAATATACTTTGAGATTGAAGTTTTATACTATGATACAGTCGATTAAGATTTTAATCAGAAAAATGCATATCAAATCCTGTCTCCATTGTCCCTTGCAACTAAACAAAATATAACTCACTTTTGTTTCCAAATTCAAGCAACCCCCATTCAACTCTCCAACTTCAATCAATTTACATGTTGCAACCATTAATTCTTCTGCTCAGCAAAGCTCGCAACAACTCAATTTTATTGCCATCATGAATTCCCCAATACACGGGGGAACAAGAATGAAACATATTAATCAATGTGATACATCCCAACACAATTTTTCACGTGAAAATAAAATTAGAAAGTACCAGAGCATCAAACGCTTTCTTTCCCCCATGAAAAGAAATAGCTGGGAGAATTGCTGCCCTGCCACAACTTTCTTTCAAGGTTAAAACTCACCACGTAAATTGTCCCAATTTGCATACTGGCAATATTAACATGAACTTGTTAGATCAAATAACGCAGCCTGGAACCACCCCTTAGCGGTTACATTCAGAAACTGCGTCAATTACCCGATCAACCAATCACTTCCAAGGCAACAACCAAGGCGCTTGTTCCATTCACATATGCGGCGAAGATAACTTTTCTGCAAAATACATAACTTGAATGGTACTTTGCCATTCACCATCCCTCTTACCATCGTGAATATGAATGTCCAGATGTATTCCAACTCCCATGCCAATTTCTTCTGCTTGTCTTCCTCCCAAAGTAATAGTCATACTCATCTGACGCAGTATGTACGGGGCTGCTGCTTTTGCTTTCTTTTGGAGCTTTTCTCAGTTCCTCTTCAAGATCATATTCTGATCGCTGTTAACAGGAAAATGGTAGATTATAATAAGGCAAGAAGGATATGTAATGTAAAATTAAATGCAGAAGAAAATGTAACCCTTCAGATATAACATTGTACAAAACGACATGAAAGACAAAAGGTTATTAACAATTAGATAATAGTTGATTAAGTTATTAGCAACAGCAACAGCAACAGCAAAAAGCAACTGCAAAATAAAATTCTCATCAATTTATAAAAGCTGTGAGTTCAATATCTTGGTTTCTGCAGATGAAGTCCCAGATCTATTGATTGGAAAAGGCTATTAACAATTAGATAGCAAGGCAGAAAAAAAAAATGAAAATTTTATGTTTGTTTATATGAGATGATTAAAACAATAAAGTGATTGTGAAATAGAACCCTCTGAAATTCCAATAATACAGATTACACACCTTGGTGGTGTCTGAAAGTACAGCATATGCCTCTCCAATCATTTTGAAAAGCCTGTCAGCATCCTTGTGAACCTCCTCCATGATTTCCTTCCAAAGTTGGCCATCATCTCTATTTTCACTCCTTGCCAGGAATTGACCAGCCTAAAGGAATGCCTCACCATAAAGAAAATAAGGAAAAACAAACAAGGTACAAATAGAGAACCACATGATATTAGAACTGGTAAACTGTAAAATGTAAAACCTTGTCTGGGTGATGCCTAAGAGCTGCTTTGCGGTATGCCTTCTTAATATCAGATGTAGAATCAGATTGTTTGACTCCCCTGCCATCACAATCAGACTTGTTTTAGAAACTTAAAAATGAAAACTTAAGCTTTAAGAGACTGAAAATCTGTGCAAATACCTGTTCTTACTTATAAGGTGATCATTCTTAATGACGAAATTATGTAGAAGTAGAACTTGTTACAGTTTTGTGCTGTTTTAGCATAAAACCATAACAAAGGTTCTTAATACATCATACAAAGCTAAGACCTAGCTCTTCTTGGTGTTAGCAATAACTATTTGGTTTTAACTTACTGTATAAAAGAACATTACTTATAGTCAACAGTCTTAATTATCTAGTTAAAGAGAAGAATTTCAATATAATGTCATTTGCACAAAAACTGGAAACATATAATTAATAATAGCATGCCATGACCCAATTCATATCAATGCTGCATAAAAAAGAAGGGTTCTCAATATCTGTGGCAATTAGACAGGATTTTAAGAGGATGCTATAAGAAAGAACATTGCACCATTATCATAAAGTCATACAGCTCACACTAGAGTCTCATGACTCAATGTTCTATCCATAACATGTTATACAAACAGTGCTTAACTTTGCAAGGATGAAATGAGGAACTTACAGAATGAGGTAAAAGTCCAAGGAGATTCCCCTTTTGGCTTCTTCTTGCATTGAGGATAACTGACTACGAGCTTGTCTCAACTCTTTTGAATTGCTGCCAGTAGAGCTACTGCCAGATTGTGTTGCTTTTTCCTCATATTGATTTTCCAGAATGGATATCAGTCTCTGAAGGTCACTAACTGCCTGTCTAAAGTCTCTGATAATGCCATGCAAAGTGGCCCTTCTAGAAAGTGCCTGTTTTGGTGGAGCAACCAGGTAAGTACAAAATTATCAGCAATTGGAGTCAAATATCTCTCTAAGAAAAATGTAAGAAAAAAGAAGATTCGAACATCTGATTGGAGTCAGTATCTCAGCCAAGTATCCTTGTGCATGATTAGAGTACAAGCAGAAGAACACCATTAAAGTTGACTGCTTCCAAAGGAAACAAAATCTGTAGGATATATTTTTTTTGGAATTCAATAAGTTGATGTTAACAGCTAATAGTGGCAAAAATTAAATTACCATAACCATTTTAACAAATATGCCCTAAGTGGGATGCAGGGAGTTTTAGTAGGAGACAATTTAATGCAAACCTTTTTGTAACTTCCATTTAGGGCGATTGCTAGACTGCAATCTGCAATTGCATCAGCAATTTGGCCCAAAGCTTGGTGTGCCGCAGCACGGTTACAGAAGCAGATTGCAGCATATGGGCGTGATTCAACATTGCTTGATAAAGCAACAGTGTAATGCTCTACTGCTTCAGCATACCTTCCAGAACGAAACGCGTCATTACCCGCATTCTGAGAATCATAAAAATGGAATAATATATTAATATAGTCAGAAAGGGAAGACTTCCAGTACCTTAAGTAACTAGCTAAAATAATAAATCAGATTGACTTGAGATGGATCCAACAGATTTTATTTTGATTTTGGATGTAATTCATCAAAAAGGAATTAAAGGAAAGAATGAAAGAAAACGTCCTCTTTGATGCTTTGAACGAGAAGCAGATGCTAGCATTTCTAATCTAAATAAACAGAGAACTTATTGTCTTAAAATTCAATTCCCAGATTTCTAATACAGAGAATTTACCATCCACTCTACAAGCCCTCAATCAAGGCAATAGGTTGGTAGGGGAACTCCAATCTGAATCAACCCATAAGTTCGATGGAATCAACATAAAATTTGATGCATAAAAATCTCATAATGCAACTTATGATTCCCAAAACACAGATATGGAAGATAAGTCTTAAAATCATAATTATCCACAGACATGGAATGTACCAACATAAGCAGAAATTGCCAATAAAAAGTGAAAACCATCACACTTGTATTCAACACTCTTCATAATCAGTCTGATTTTGACAATAACACAATGCTATTTACAAAGAAAACCACTGGTTTTAACAGGGTATGTATTCTCTCTGATTGTCCATTTGGTTCTTCTCAATCAATTTCAGTACCCATCACAATTGTATAAATTTACAAATTTCCTGGGCATGTGAACATATTAAAAACCACCTAGGTCCTAGGTTCTTGGATGGCTATTCCAGCATTCTAGGGAAAAACAAAGCAAGACATGAAGCGATGGGTGACATACCTTAAGGCGTAGAAGTTCACGAATGGTAACAGCTAATGAAACTGACGATTCCAAAATCTTACTTCCAGGTCTACACAATTAGAACCAGAATCAATAATTTTAAAGCAAGATAGATGATCCAAAGGAATCATGAAAATAGAAACCAGTAAAAATGAGGTAAAAAAAGATAGAGCATAAAAAGGGTTGAAGAATACTTGGTCCTCATAGATCCCACATTCTCAAACTTCAGAAGTAAATCCAGTGCTGTCTCAAGTCTTCCCATACAGAAATAGGACTGCGCCATCAAGTTCCATCTCCATAGCTTTGCATGTGAGTAACATCCAGAACCATCCATGTTCACTATATGGTTTTCAGTGCCTACTTCAATAGAGTTCTTTTCAGCAATGTAAAGAGTTTGCTCACAAAGCTGAATTGCCTCCTCATATTTCCTTATCTACCAGATGCCAATAAAAGTTCAGATTTCAGCTTATGGAACAAAACATAATGCTCATGTGAAAAGAAGATTGTCGTTAACTCAAGTGAGATGGAGAGAACATAAAATAACTAATGGAATTATGAGTTAATAAAGCATATACCATGTGCAAAGCCTCTGCTTTCATTTGAAGTAGTTTTTCAGAACATGAACTGATTGACAAGGCCTCAGCAATTATGTCTAATGCACTGGATGCTGCATCAGATGTCTTTTGTTCCAAAAGTACTGAAGAATGATTTGTGAGCTCAGCAACTTTCTGCAGATGAAGAAACCACAGAATCAGTCATCAGCTTACAACATATAGACAAGCTCTGGGCCAAATTGCAAGCAGGACTCAGGATTGAGTATATGGGAAATCAAGAATAATAGAGAAACAAACACACTTCCTATACATTCTAGGTCTCTTATTCATATTTCATATACAAGAAATTGATTGGGGAGGAGCAGAAAAGAGTGGGAAAGGAGCAAAAAAAAAAAAAAAAAGAGGGAGAGATTTTTTTAGAACATTTATTCATATTTAAAATTTGTTCCCATTATTATTTTATTATTTTATTATTTTGTACAATTATAAATTATTTAATATGCAAAAGACCAACAACACATTGATGTATTGATTTTTATTCCAAGGTGGAACTTTAGTCATCTTCCCAATCAGATACCCATACCCATAAACAAATATATAAATATCAGAAACCAAGGAAATCCTTAAATTCCACATGCTAACCCATTAAACCCATCCAAACATTAACAATATTTTGAGACATGTGACAGAAGATCGATGCAATTCTTTATCTAGTTCAACCTAATTGTTTGATATAATAGCCCAAGGGTCACATAGAGTGAAAGCTTTAAGCCTTGGCTTAATAACAAAATTAAGGACGTCAGCAGGATTAGTACACTTTTGACATGCAGCTGACAAGTGACAAAATTTTCTTAAGTTATAATAATGACAATAATGACATACAGACTCCAAAATGGTACATACCTGAGCCTTGTGTAAGCCATCAGCAGCATCTACTGTAACTCTGCGATCCAGGCAGACATCAGCTGCCAAACCCAAGCACCTATTGAAGTATTGTACTGCGTCTTCAATATTTCCAAGCACAAGATGACAACTGCAAAGAGATCATCATGCATTTGAACAGCTATAATCTACTTAAAAGCTTAAAGCCTTTAACAGATTAATGGAGCAGAAGAGTAGATTTAATATTCAACAAGTTCCTTTATGCTTAGCCTATTGAAAAATGGATGCATGGCTGAACAATAAGTCCACTGCATAGGTTAGACTAAAATTTAACCACATCAAACTAAAGGACTAAATCATATCAAGTATCACTGAATTAAGTTTAAGATGACAGGTGAAACTTAAAAAGTAGATCTATCTCTAAAAATATTGAACTCCTATCCTACGGAGAATAATTTGAAATGATCAAAATAAGTTTAATGTCTTCAGCAACCAACCCTCCCTATTTAAAGATATGCTTAAAGAATCATAGAAATTATCATTTTACTAAATTTCTGGTCATATAAATGATTTTTACTAACAAAAATAATCAAAGAAAGTGCAAATTTCCAGTACTCAAAAAATAACTAGCATAACAAAGGCCATACTTAGCTGCTCTGACATAAACTTTGAGAAACTTAGGGTCAAGATCAGCAGCAATCAAACAGTCAGCTAAACCTTCTCTCAACCTTCCAAGCGATATTCGTGCTGCTGCACGATTGCTGTAGCAAAGCACGAGAGGCTTGATATAGCATCCTGAAGCCTCATTTGAAAGAACAGAATTAATACCCTGTGTGTAATAATCCTCAGCTTCCGCCAGGTTACCATTTCTATAAGAATGATTTCCCCTGATACAGATTTCAAATTCTCAATCAAATTAGTAAGTGATGTTCTCAAAAGCAATATTTTCACATGAAAGCATAAAATCATATGGCAAAAACTAATAATCTAAGAAACATATTATAGACATTATTTAAATTTAATCAATCAATAAGATACCTTAATCGCCACATTTCACACGCTGCCTCAACTGTAGCAATGTAAGACTTAGACCCTTGTTCAACTTGTCCGTTTGGTTCCTGTTCATCACCCCCTTTGCTTTGGCAAGTAGATTTATCTTTTGGTTGACTCTGTTCCACATCCAAAGTGTTTGCACAAGGTGAAAACTGTACAGAGGACGACCCTGACTCAACATTTGGTCTTGGAGTGATAATGAATGAAGAATTGTTGGTTTTAACCTTATTTTTCTTTCGGAGAAGACGTTTTTTCAATGAAAAACTGCCCCGTAAAGAAGATGATGCTGAAAAAGTAAAATGTCTTTCATCCTCCAAACCTGAAGCAAAACAAAACTTTGTTGTATGATTGCTTTCTTGGCTCTCTGTATTCAAGCCAATTCCATTTTCTGCTGCAGCAACACTGGCACCACTGCAGCAGGCACTGTCAGCTCCATCAGTAGACCCTTTTGAAGGAAATTCACTTCCAAAGAATCTTTCCTCCAGAGGCTTACTGCATTTCTCATTAACATTAGTACCATGTATCTCTTCAGAAGTGGCCATGTATTCATCCTTGGACTTACTGTCCAAGTGGGAGGTATCACTTGATTCCACAGATAAATGATCAACTGCTTCATTTTCCTGATATGGAGAAAAATCCATGGGTGAATAACATTCAGACGAGTTTGGATTGTCTTCAGTACCACTTTTATTTCGCATATGATCTTCCTTAGACCCATGCTTATGGAGGCAAGACAACTTTCCCTTTGTTTTCTTTGATCTTCTGCCCTTCATTAAGCTACTTTTTACACCAAATTCCACTTTACTATTTACTTTAGGAAATATGAAGGATGATGGATCCCACTGAGGAGTTTTGAAATCACTAGAGAAGACTCCAGATACCTCTGGATTGCTAGTAGAGCAGCCACTTTTCCTATCAACTCCAGCTACAGATGGCACTTTAAAACTGCTACCATTTGGCTGGGAGCCCATACCACAGGATGAAAATGATTGTGCAGCAGCAGCTACTTCTAGCTCTGTATCTTCCCTAACATAACCTTGTGAAAACTGCTCAACATCAGAACTCTTGTTATTACCAGCTGAAAATATAAATTGGCTGCAACCTGTAATTCCAAACTTCTCACTGTCTATGGTAGAATTATTGCCAAATTCAACAGATTCTATATTGACATTATTGGAATGATACTCAGAAGTTCTCCCAACATCATTACCCTGAACAATCTTTGGTCTCACATCATGAGTAGTTTCAGAACTTCTGTTGGAAGAGATTGATGCCTTTTTGCCACATGAAAACACAAATACAGAGTCAAAATTGGCTTTCTTATGTGGATCTTCAGTCATGCTGACACCACCAACAGTTTTGTCACCACAGATATCCAGTTTCTCCATATCATCTCCCAGTTTAAACACTGAGCTTTTACTGGAAGCACCACAAATATTATCTTTATTTTCAAAAGCCACCTTAGAACAACTATCACTAGGAGAATTTTCATGAACATTGTGTTTTGCCATCATAAATTCATTGAAATGGTAATTTTCATTATTTCCACTACCAAATATACAGAATCCATTGTCATAATCTTTATTCCCACTCTCATTGCCATTAGAATTTAAAGCACCTGGAGTAACTTTCACTTTCTCTGATTCATAATCAACTTCCGTCTTCCCTGGACCAAGAGGTACTGATGTTCCAAAACTTTCACCTTTCTCTCTCCTTTCCACATAAAAACTTGAAGCAGACTCAGAAGAACCAACACTAAATTCAAAACTTGAACCACTCAACACTCCAGCGGATTCACTGTTATCAGACGTTGAAATTGGCTTCAAATCACTCTGATTAGCACCAAATACAAAAGGGAAACCATTAAAATCTGCCTTTTTAACTGTTTCAGTGGGCTCTCCCTTCTCTGAATCCAAATTCATTGCTAAGTTACTCTTATTTGCACCAAAAACGAAAGCTGGATTGCTATCCTTACCACACTCCACTTCAGTCTCTAACTTTGTCCTCTCACCAATATCTGAATGCATATTCACCTTTATGTCACTAGATTCTCCAGTTCTTCCATTCAGATTCCATCTTGCCTCACTCCCATTAACACCAGAAACGAAGCCAAACTTCCCAGCATGTGCTTCAGAGCCTGCTTTTGTCTTGATCTTACTACTGGAACCAAATTTCCCAGTTTTTTTGCCAAACAGCCTCCTCTTACTGCACAACTTCGCCGCTGTATCTTTCTTATCAGCTCCCAATACAAAACTCACATTCTTAAACTTGCTAAAAGACTCATTCCCATTCTCAGGCCCAGTGTTCCCACCAGATACCCTCACCCCAGAATCCGCGGCAGCATCACTCCCATTAGCTCCAAACACGAAACTATTATCGCCATTATCATTGTTATTATTAATCACTCCATCTAAACCCCCCATAAATCCCTTTGATAAACCACTACCAGAACTACAAACAGAATCATTTCCACTATTCAATTGAACAAAAGGGTTAAAACCCGATCCTGCCTCACTCGGTACATTCTTTGTCCTCCCCAGCTGCTTCCTCACCTTGACTAGCCTCGGCCGGGTCCGCCCCGATGCCTTCTGCGAAGCAAAACCAAGACCCGAATTGAAGACTGCTGCATTTCCGAAGCTCGAGGAAACAGAATCCGAAGAATCCACGCCGTGCTGCAAGGTTTCCGGATGGTTGCTTTGAGAAAATACAGGGAAACTAGGGTTAGGGTTTCGGAGAAATGAGGGTTTTGGTTCAGAAGTGGAGGGCGATCGCATTTCCACTGCCGCCGGCGACATTCGAGAAAGAAGTTAAAGATTGAGAATTTAGAAGAAACAGGTCTTGTGGGGATGACTTGATATGTTAGCGTGAACCTGTTGGGTTAGGGTTTGCCTGGTTTTGAACTAAAGAGGTGGAAGAAAGGGTGCGGATGAGTTACAGTGGGACGTCTCTGTTCGAAAACTGCAACCTTTTCTTAACCCTGAAATTTTTATTTTTTTCAAAGAAATAAATTCATTTTAAAAAATAATCATAGATTGATTAAAATTTAGTATTAAAGTTTTTTTTTTTATCTTACCAACATAATAAAAAATAATTATTTTTTATTTTTTATCTTATCAAATTTACATGACATGTGATTTAAATTTAAAATCTCTTATTTTCAATAAAAAAAAGATGATAACTAAATTATTTAAGTCATTGAATATTTAAATTTAGACAATAATATAATATAAATCATATTATTTAAAATATTTAAAAATAAATTTTATATTATTCAATAATTAATTTTTTTATGTTTTACATGTAATATTATATATATCAATTAATAATATAAATCACATCATCTATGTCTAATATTCATTGTAAATTTTAATCATCCCATTCATTGTATGCATCAAAACTTTTTGAATTTTCTTTTTCTCATTTATTATTTTGAAATTTTTTTTGTTTTTTTTTAAATTAAAATTATTTATCATATTAATTGGAGAAAAGAAAAAATGATTTCATGAGATTCAAATATGTATCTTACACAAGAAAAAGATAAACGACCTTAATTTAATATTCATGCTACTAGTCGGAGCGGTGTTCTCAAAAATTTTTTGTTTCTCCTTCATTAATATAAAAATTTTATGTTTTATAATCTAAATTATACAAAATTATAAAGTAAACATTATTAAATAAAGAAATAAGGGATTACTGTTTATATGTCTTACCTCTAAAAAATTAGTAAAAAAAAAGATAAAAATTACTTTAATACATGCTTTAAAAATAAGATAATTTAATTTTTTTTAATAAAAAATTGTTGAAACAACGTAGTTTTAGAATGATTTTTCTCTTAATTTTTAAGAGGTAAAGCTAAGAGTCACTTTTTCCTTTAAATAATTTAAGTTACATAATTCGGTGGAATTGTTAACATTCACATCCATCCAGCGCTAACATGCCCTCTCAAAAAAATTTGATCAAGCTTAACAAACTCAATTTCCTGATACAGCTCTCAATCTAATTGGAGCTATAATTCGTCTCTGTTCTTTTTGCATTTTTTAAGAGAACAAGAGAGAGCTCATAGATACATGCTCCTAAATTTCATGTGTAGCATCCGAAATGCCTGGAGATTTGTTTCCTGTCATGAACTTCAATTTTGAGTAGGGTCCGTCACTTTTGTGTGTGGATTAATCTTGTATTTTTAACGTAGGTGAGATTACTCTATAGTGTTTGGAAGGATTTTTAACGCATGACCGTGATTGTACTAAAAATTATTTTTAGAGATGATTGAGAACTATGTAAAAAGTCATAATTTAGTTAATAAAAGGTTTGCTTTTCACCATATTAATTAAAATTTAAAAAATAATAAAAAATTATTTTTATTATTTTTTAAATTTTAACATAAATGACATGTATTTTATTGATCAGAAAAAAATTAATTTCAAAATATACATAAATTAATTTAAAGACACCTTAATTTTTATAAAAAAAATATGATTATTGAGAATGAAAAAATTAAATAATTCTTATGAGAGATTGGAGTTGTTTTTTTAACACAGTTACATTGTGAAGAGATGGAAGAAGGATTCGAACTCGAATCCGATGAAAAGTGTTATGTGGGGAGTAGGTAATTGCTCTACCTAGAGCTTCTCGAGAGATTGGAGTTGTTAGAGAAGATTGAAATAGAACTTTTAATATTGTTTTTTCTTCTGCTCTAAAGAAGAACTACATTTTTTTTTTTTTTGGTTTTCCGCCTGGTATCTGAGGCTTCGTCTCGACTAATCCGGACTCGACCCGCGTCGCGCACCTGAAAATGGTGAGTGAGTCTCCCAGCGGGGTTGTTGCGTACACAAGATCTCGAACTTAAGACTTTATTTAAGCTGGAACAAATCGCTTACCACTTGATCCAACCCCTCATTGGTCTAAAAAAGAACTACATAGAAGAACGAAAACTTATATTATTTTGTAGTGGTATTTTTTCATCAATCGAGATTTGCGTTTGGTGTGTGTCAAATTGCCCAAGTTGCATTAGGGTTTTGAGGGGGAA